TGTTGGACAATTAGTACTTCAATTATTCAACGTATCACAGGGTGAGTTATTGATATACATAAGGTCATTTTGGTGTTGTTTTAACCCCATTAACACCCATAGTTGGGTAGTAGTGGAGTACAAATACTTTGTTACTGTACTTAAGTGCATTTTTCTGGTATCAGTACTTTACTCCACGACTTATTTTGCTGACGACTTTTTACTTTGACTTCTTACATGTTGAACACAAATACCTGTACTTTCTACTTCTTACATGTTGAACTCAAATACCTGTACTTTCTACTTCTTACATGTTGAACACAAATACCTGTACTTTCTACTTCTCACATTTTCCAAACAGGCTGGTTCCTTTAGTTTGAATGTGTGTTTGGTGGCGTGATCATTATTATTTAGAGTCATTGCGTGCCTATTGATTTGAACACGATCCGTGTATCCATCATTTCCTGGTCTTCTCTAAAGAAGAGGGACCAATGGAAACGTTGTCATGTTGCCGTTGTTCACCATGGAAACATTCATTAGCTAACAATGACATTATTGTTCTATTAATATAAAGGGAGGTCAGGTACTCTTTAAAACAGCTGCTAGTTATGGGTACTTTTTACTGAAGTACATTTCAAACCTCTTTACTTTGACTTGAGTAAAGAAGTTTAGTCAGTACTTCTACTTTCACCAGAGTATTTTTAAACACGAGTATCTGTACTTCTACTTAAGTAAAGGATGTGTGTACTTTTGGTGCAAGTGTATGTTATAAGAGTGTGAGTGAATTTGCATCTCTGAGTTTTCCCATAACGACATCCTGTTGTTGCAGCAATCCGTTACTGTGACCGCTGTCAAGTCATCAAACCTGACCGCTGCCACCACTGCTCCGCCTGCGACATGTAAGAAACCTTATCATCTAACTTTAAGACAAGATGTTTATTCATTCTGATTGACTCTCACCCTTCATTGTTGATATATCTTCTCTTGCTGTGTGGCAGGTGTGTGCTGAAGATGGACCACCATTGTCCCTGGTAAGCGAGCTGCTGTCTCACATTTTAGGATAGTTCAAACCTTTTACCAAACATATTTACAGTCAAGCTGTTTAACGTGAATCCCTCTTAGGAGTTGGTTTAATCTGCCAGTAGCTATAAAAGCAGAGCATCACACAGTCAACACGAGACCTTATGGTTCATAGAAATACTGATTTTGTTTAAACTCAACTATTTTCTCATATTGCAGCCTGACAAAGCTGTTCAAAATCTACTTTGTTATCCATATGAATGAGTGTGTTTAAGATCTACTCTCCAGGAAGTAATGCACATGTTAAAAAGTCTCTGTCATTATCAATGTTCACGTAGGAAATGTGTCGAAAAACATTGAGGTTCTTGTTCTCTTGCCTTGATTAACCAAATATGTTTTACTGAGGTGTAATCATTAGAGGACCACGAAGCCTCTTTTAATGAAGTCCATCTTGATAAGACCTCTCCTCACAGGAAGTGATGTCACACCTGACCTTCTTTGTGTTTCTCTGCAGGGTGAACAACTGTGTCGGATTCTCCAACTACAAGTTTTTCATCCTCTTCCTGGCTTACTCGCTGCTGTACTGTTTGTTCATCGCAGCCACCGTGCTGCAGTATTTCATAAAGTTCTGGACAGTGAGTGATGGTGTGTGTGTGTGTGTGTGTGTGTGTGTGTGTGTGTGTGTGTGTGTGTGTGTGTGTGTGTTGTGTGTGTGTGTGTGGGTGTGTGTGTGTGTGTGTGTGTGTTGTGTGTGGTGTGTGTGTGTGTTGTGTGGTTGGTGTGGTGTGTGTTGGGGTGTGTGTGTGTGTGTTGTGTGTGTGTGTGTGTGTGTGTGTGTGTGTGTGTGTGTGTGTGGCATGTTCAGCTGCATGACAAAAAGAGATGTAGCGGTTCAAACCAGCTGATCAGCCAGGACCAATATCACATGTTTACATCACACACACACACAACATGCAGGTTGATGTGTGTTCTTCAGCGTGAGTAAAGCAACTTTTAATAACTTTACGTCCAACATATGCCATCTAAGAACAACTCACATTAGATTGAAGTCTGTCAAATAATATCTGCACAACTTCATTCAGATATTTAGACACATTTTGCCTTTCTGCGATTAGGACAATGCACTACATTGAGATTTTAATACAAACATGTATTAGTTGTTTAGCCTTTTAAATGAATGCTATAGAAATGTGTCCTGAGCTTTAGTTCTCAGAATGAAAGGTTCAAGGTTAGTTTATTTGAATAGCATATTTTAAGACTCAGAGGCAATTCAAAGTGCTTTAACACATAATAATTAAAAGCAAAAAAAATAAATAAATAAAAGCGATAAAATCCTGGCTGGCAGTGCAGATATTTGAAAACTGTCTGGTCAGACTTGCATGAGAACGGAAATCAGCAGAATAAAAACGTCTAGTTGTGTATCTTTGTGTGAAAGCTAGGCGAGTGCATGGTGTTTTCCGGTTTCCCCTCTTGACCCCTGACCTCTAATGTTTCCTCTCTTGACCCCTGACCTCTCCCCCGTCCTCCCCCGTCCTCCACACTGACCCTTTGTTCTGAGATGGCTGTCTCTCCACATCACTCACAAACACCTCACTTTCCTCTCATCTCCTCCTCTCTCATCCCTTTTGATCTGGGCTCACTTTGTAAAACCCATGTTTCTCCCCTTTTGCACCCATGGAGTCAGATGTGTGCTCATAAGGTCAAGCAAAACTTCAGTGTCAGTAAACTATTGTTCTTTTTGTCACGATAAAAAATGTGTTACGCAAATGATTTCTTTCGAGTTTCACTTTCGGAGCTTCTCTGAGGTTTATTTTGTCTTAAATTCAGATTTTAAAACGTTTCTTTATTCACAAATCTGGTTCCATACTCCCCCTTTACCCTTGATGGTATTCCCGAGTGTCTCCTTCTCCCTTTTCTCTAACCAGTCTGTTTCTGTTTGTGCTAAAGCTTTGCCGGAGGAAATCGGTAGAGCACTGCCCAAAGGTAACCTCTGTCGTGATGTGACGTGGTCCTTTCCTCTCTTTTCTACTTTTTCTCTCCTATATCTTTCTTTCCATACATATCCTCCATGTGAATACTAATTCCTGTCTCCCTTGTCTCCCCTCTCTCCCCCCCAGAATGAGCTGAAAGACACTCACGCCAAATTCCATGTCTTGTTTCTCTTTTTTGTGGCGGCCATGTTCTGCATCAGCATTCTGTCTCTCTTCAGCTACCACCTGTGGCTCGTAGGGAAGAACAGATCCACTATAGGTAACACACACACACACACACACACACACACACACACACACACACACACACACACATTCAGCTATATACATATACCCTTGTGTTATTTACTCATTTTGTGTTGAGCAGTAATTGATGAGAAGGAAGGAATATGAGCTTCTTTTTAAAAACTTTTTTGTGCCAAAAGCTTCGTTTCGTCGGCACAAAGCTGCAGTGCGGACAAGCGGAGCGACAGCTGGAGTGTTTTGAACATGTTTCGAGTATTTTTAGAAAAGGCAGTACATCCCACGGAGATGGATCAGTTGACCTGTGTGACAGATTGTCTTTGCCTTTTTTATTTTTAACTCATAATGTTGGATTTATGGTCTGCAACTTTCCTGAGAAGGATGTTTCACAGAGGACCTCAGACTGAGGGATTTGGAAATGAGAGCACAAGGTGGCGCATTTGCACTTCGTAGATTATCTAACAACGCCGTGCTGCTTCCTTTTTCTTTTTTAAAACCATGTCCAAAAAGCATCCCGGGTATTACGGATGTTGGATGTTCATGTGATTTATTGTTTCTGTGTAACAGTCTTCTTTCTTTTTTAAACAAATAATAGCATCTTAAATAATCAGCTTAAAGGTGGGGTAGGTAATTTTGGAGAAACCAGCTGGAGTGCGCTAGAATTTGAAAATACACAGCCGGAAGAAATCTGCCA